TTTGTTTCATTAATAAGGTATATAATAAATCAAGTTCCTTGATTAAATAATGAAGCAAGGAAGAATTAGTTAAATGTTAATGAAAAGTATTTCGAAAGAAGTATATGTAAATAATTAGAAAGATGTGATATTAGTTAGACGAAACGAAAATTATACAGAAGTTCGCGTTCATAATATTCTGTTCAATTTAAATGATTAAACAAATAATTATGAACTCATAATTCAGGGTTTGTAAATGCGGATTTCCATAATTCTCAGAGTTAAAAGTATGTATGCTTTTGGCGAAGTTTAGATAGAAAAGTTTTAACGTTAAAAAACTGTTATATATTGAATTGCATGATTATCAAGTAAAGACTTGGTTCAGTTAGTGAAAATTGATCCATATAGGTGTAGTGGCTTAGCTTTGTCAATCAATCACCTTGATAATCGTTATTATATAAATCTCAATGGTGTTTGAAATCAGAAGGCAATAAGAAGAGGTGACTGTAGTTTATTAGCGGATAGCACATATCACAAGGCTACATGCAAATTGAGCAAATTTGAAGCAGAGTGGCCATATGTGTATGCGAGCAAATACAGAATTGGATTTATAGTCAAATCAAATAAGGCGCAGATCGGATAGACAAAGGCTAATAATAGGATTCGAGTACATATGTACATGGGAAAGAGAACGAATCATAGAGTGATATTCAAGCGATTGCCAATGTAAATAGGAAGAGAAATATGTGTAGGCTGTCACATGCAATCAAGCGTACACGTTTATACACACAAAGAAATATGCTAATTGTTACTGTTCAAATAACATTATTTGTTAAGTAAGTTAATAAAAGAGCTTAACCAAAATTAACCACAATCGAAATTGATTATGAAAGAGTTGTTATATAAGTGTAATTTTGGCTGGAAGGTGATAAGTATTTAAACGAACTAGTATAGACTATAATTTACATACATTACTCACAACAAAAAACATGACGACTATATTTATCTTCTGTAAAATTTATTTCGAACCATTATCCTAAATAAGACACAAACATTTGATAGAAGAGGTTCTAATAGCAAGTTTATAATTTATTTATTTATTTGTAGATCTTATCATGAATAAAGAAATCTTTGTTCAAGATAGGTATCCCCAGAAGTTGTTTCAGATAACCAAATAATAGGTCAGTCGGGATTTTCCAATCGCACATGAAAACACCCAATGACAATCAATAAATAAGCCCTTTAATAAATTTAAATTATTTTAGTTAACAATCTCGACTGATCTTTGTTAAATTAAATTAGCTCTTCTCAGATAAAACTTTTTTAAGTATAATGATTAATAAATATTTGATCAGACCAATTAAGGCAATCAATGAAATAAAAAGATGTAATATAATCAGAACTGAATGACAAGGAACTTTTCTTTTAACGAGATCATATGACCTATCAACTACCGGATGAGATTATGAAGTAAAACTGGTGTGACTAAAATATGGTGAAATGGTATTAGCTTTGTATATTTAAGGTAATACATTTAGCTTGAAGATACTGTAACACTGAAGAAAGTAATTGAAGTATAATTGGATCTATCAAATGATTAGATGTTATTACTCTTTAGTTTGTCGTTTTCTTCTTAGTATTATTCCGAAAGTTTCATAAACATAATTAAGTTAACGCATTAAGTACAACGTACGCTCTGCGTGCAGGATAACATCAGAACGACTACTTTTTATTCGTCAGTAGTCTGATTTCTTTTATTAGCTTCTTTGTTAGCATTAACTAATAATAATACGTTTTACACTACTACAGCTACTACTACTACTACAACTACTATAAATCACAATCTTAAATAATTCTCTCTATTCTCTGGTTTCTTATATTGAACCACTTATTTGGATACTTAAACTGTCGAACTGTATGTCAGTATGGAGTTCTAGGATTTAAGCCTCATATTTTTCAATCGATGAGAGGGGAATGTTAAAACGAGGGTTTCGTGCGAACGTTGTGTGGTAGTGAACGAAGTCCTGGTGAAGATCATCGATATATTGTCCAACGCAAAATTACAGAGTGACTTCGTGAAATATGAAAATTGTTCATTAAATGCATGATTTACACATCTTCCTTCAGTTGTCCCTTACATGTTTCATAATTCTTCCAATTCCATGGTTATTAGAATCACTCTCTGTTCACATTTCTGTTTCCTTCAATTCCATCTTCTCAATCTTCTGCTGCCGAGCATTCAACTTCTTAATAATGTTATATACTACTTATATCTGTCAACATTAGTAACATACACCCCGGCATCACCGAAGTAACGAAGAATGTTAACACACTTATTGTGAATACATGACTGAGATCCCGTAACCTTAATTTAGTTAAATTCAGCTACACGAATTATTTGAAGATCAACAACATGGAGTAGTTGGATAACGGATAAGTAAATAACCAAATATTATGTTCTCAAATTTTTTATCTGATTGGTCATAACCGAATGATTCTCTCACTTCTATCTGATCAGACTCTAAGAAAAATCCTCATAATTGCATGATTTTACTACATCATTTCCAGTAGTTGGGTCTATCGACAACGGTCAGGAGTATCAAGAGTTCGCACACATTTATGTTTCTGATATCCGGTTAAAAATATCACTGAAGAAATAATCAAAACTGTACATGTTAGTAGTTGGCATAGCAAGTTCTAACGTAGTGCATGTGATGTCAAATTAGTTAGACTAGCTGCTCCGTTATAACTTGAAAGATAGTCCTTGATTATCACTGAGAAAATAGAAAAACATACTTCCGGTCACTTCGGAAATCACGAGGCCGATTCCCCTACGAACAACCGGAGCAACAATTTTTATAGGTACATGGAACGTCCGGACAATGTGGGAAACCGGAATAGTCTTTCAAATTGCTGCAAGAATGAGGACATACAACCTGGGGGTGCTTGGGATCAGTGAAACACATTAGACGCAAGTTGGACAACAAAGACTAGCTTCAGAGGAGCTTCTGTTATACTCCGGCCATGAAGAAGAAAATGACACACATACACAAGGAGTTGCATTGATGCTGTCCAAACAAGCACAGAATGTACTTACAGGATGGGAATCTCATGGACCAAGGATCATCAAAACCTCCTTCAAAACAAAGAGGGCGTTGCAATGAATGTCATCCAAAGCTATGCGCCTACCAACCACTACAATGAAGACATTAAAGATTAACTATGCTATAGGCTGCAGTCAATCGTCGAGAAGTACCCAACAAAGAACCTTACCATTCTGGTGGGAGATTTCAATGCCAAAGTTAGAATGGACAACACCGGATATGAAAACATTATGGGACGATATAGACAGACTAGGAGAAAAGAACGAAAATGGTGAGAGATTTGTAAACCTATGTGTCTTCAATAAACTGGCCATAGGCGGCACTATATTCCCACATAAACGCATTCACAAAACTACATGAACTTCACCATCTGGAGACTGCTGGTCGACGGCCTATGCTTCATTGGGGGTAACAAGCGTAAGTAAGGGGACTCTTCAGTGGTCCTGCCGGGGAATTGAAATCGGGAATTTCAGTCACATACTCGAACGCTAGACATCTAGATTGCCGAGCCGATACACATTTCTAAGTTCAGTCAACCGACTATCGTTCGCAGCTATCCTCCATTATCTGAGGTAGATAAATAACTAACATCTGACAGCCATTCAATGCTTCATAGTTTTCAGTAGCGTTTTAGCTACTATCAGTTTTTGATGTTAATCAATCAAAGAAGAATCATATGGAAGTAATGTGTTTTAATGACAAATCTGAATTCATTTCCATCATTCATTGTGTTTTCACTTAATTTAAGGTTACGATGGGAATACTCGTGAATACTCATCTCTTAATATATTTGGGTAATTAAAGAAAACAGAAACTTTCAAATACTTATCAAATATAAATTGAGTTATTACACCTTAACTAGCTTGTATCAATAAACTACAATATTCAAACAATACTCGAAGTAAATATATGTTCATTTAGATTGACCATAAAATAAATTCAAGAAAATTATTCAGATTAAGTTAACCAACAAAGAAAACATGGTTTTCTACCTTTTCCTCTAGAAAACTTTACATAATATCATGAAAAGTTTACTAAACTCTGCTTTATTTATATATTATGTATAAGTATTTAAGAAAGAAATAAAGTATAAGCATTTATCAGAAGGGGTTTTGTAGAGATTTTAATAATCTTTTTTATATAGTTGAGACCATAAGTCTATTGAAGCTAGACCACCATAGAAAACCTGGAACCAGTAGAGTTCAACCAGGTCTGTTGGGAGATATTAACTTACTGAAGACATTGGTGAAATGGTTGCTCAATTTCGTGGATTGGTTAAAGTTAGACATTGACACCGTTGGGTGCTGGCTCAGTGGTCTTTCGGTTAAGTGCTCTAGCGCGAGACTGATAAATCCTGGGTTCGAATCTCGAGAGGCGGAGTCGTGGATGCTCACTGCTGAGGAGTTCCACAATAAGACAAAACAGTCTTCCAGTACTTCCAGGTTTTCCATGTTGGTCTAGCTTCAATTGACTCATGATCTCATATATATATATATATATATATATATATATATATATATATATATATATATATATATATAAGCATTTATGCTTATTCACCTTATTTCTATTAATTTATGCTATGAGTTTTTAATACATTTTTATCATTTTAGATTATTTTGTAATCATTCAAATTTAATAATAAATATTTCTTGAATTTCATTGGTTATTACTGTTTCGACCAATCAGGATATTTCTTTTTATAGATAATAAAATAATATTAAAAAGTAAATCATAAGCACAAAAACATTTTCTTAGTTAATTTTTATATAAGTTTTAGACAAACAATCACTTTGAAATGATTGGCATAGAAAGAAATAAACAAAAATGAGGCGACAACATAATATTTATGACAACAGGGAATCTAATCTGAGTAAACAATAATATATATATATATATATATATATATATAATTTTATATTTCAATGAATAAGAAGTCTTTAATCACATTGTTATGTCCATTAGAGAAAAAGAAGAAAGTTTTCCATGTTTCTCCTTGGATTATATACGTAACAGTAAAATCCTAGTAAGTTCATGGTAATTTCTAAATTAGTTAAACTTTACATTAAAATTATTCTGCTCAGTCTGTAAACTTAGTTTACTCTGTGTTTTCTAGAACTCTTCTCTTTTTCATAAAGGAAAGTATTTTGTTTAATCATACATTAAGTCTATGTAAAGATGTAGTGCAATTTGTGCAGATGCGTGTTTTTTAAAATGTTGATTGATTTCTGTTGAAATGATTTACAACCACTTAGCTTATGACAATAACAGGGATGAGTTTGCGAAATTTTGAAAATCATAAAAAATAAACAACATTTCACTTCACTCGGTTTACTGACTAAAACCAAAATTGACTGTTGATTTAGTAGAGATAGGGTCTCTGTGTGACAAAAGTGGGCAATGAAATAATCATTTGGATATTGTTGTCTTAGATTAGTTTTCTAATCGAACTGAATTCATATTTTTGCCTATGACAGCTAAGTTCAGTGAATAAAGCTGGAAAGGGGCTTGTCTTCCGAGAACATTACATATTAATTGAATATTGTCAATATTGAGCTGTTCAGTGTTGAAATGAAAATTCTTTCAAGGGCTTAAATTTAGAATGTCTATATCTTACTGCTCTGGTGGTATTGAAAACAGCCTGCTTTCCGAATCAGAGTTAGACTATTAAAAACCATGATTTATTACATAATAATTATGAAGACTACTATATTTATTTAGAGTAACAGGATATGTTATGCTTGATCATATGAAGTCAAAACATAGGATCAGTCCGAACCAAGATATCTTGAAAAATATATAAAACGTTAGCAACTTACTGTTTTATTAAACAAATATATATCTCGATTGTCTAGGATTTGTGCAGTTAACGCCTTTGATAATATTCCTAAGTTATTTCATGGGGATTTTGATCGGTGCAATGTTCCTAATTACATAACTCAAATTTCGGGTTTATTTCAAATAAATTGCATCTAGCAATACATATATCATTAGGCCAAAAAGAAAGTTTATTAATAATAGTTGACTGATTTTCTTCTGTGGGATTATTAATCAGTCAAGCGAAATTATTTTATTCACATGAATAAACATTTTAGACAAGAAGAAATGCGTTTTAATGACCGAAACTTTGTTTTACTGTTTAGTATTTTATAAGATATTAAGATTGAATTTGAATAGAAGATCATTAGGTAGAGATACTGGTATGTGTATGATTAATTTCTAAATATTGATTGCTGGGGTATATTTATTCAAACACTGTATTTAAACAAACCAACTATATATTATAAATGTACTGTTTACAGGAAAATGAATGCAGTAGTTATTAAGTGTATATAGCGGTCTGATTTCATTAAAACTATATATGTACCAAAAGTATTTAGTTTAAAACATACCTTGAATTTATATAAACCTGATTAATCTTGTTCTCCATATATTTTACATCATGTATTCAATAAAACATGTTGTCATTGAGTTGCTTATGGTTTTCTAATTATCTAATCAAAAAAAGAGTCGAGAAGGATTAGACATCCATTCATTTTTCCACCATGAACTAAACTTCATATTGATTTGAGTTTGTTTTAAAAAAGATTTGGTTAGTCGATAATAAATACATTTTTTTGTATATCCTCATGAGTACAAAAATTGTATTTCTGAAGTTTCGTGACTGAATATAAAGTCAATTTCTCAGAGTAAACAAACCTTTCATTCACTCTGAAGAAGTTGCTTGCATTAAAACACGAAACATCAGAAATGCAATTTTTCTATTTATTGGGATATAACGTATGATATATTTATTCTTTAATTTCTAGCTAATTCTCAATTTATTTAGTCATTGATACCTATATAATTTTTTGATTGGTTGTTTTCACAGTACTTTCAATACAGATTAACATGTTAACGTCATCTGTGTTGTTATGGATTTGCCGATTAATAGTTTTTTCTAGCTATATAGGACTTGACACTTTTGTTTTAATTTTTCCTGACTTAGAATTTGTAGATAAAGTATACTAATTCTTCTCAATAAGCAAGGATGAGTTGATAAAAACTTGTGAAAATGTATATTCTAAAATTGTATAACTGGTACAACTTATATAAATACTATTTAGGCACCTAACTCTATAAATGACACATTGATATTAAGTTCGAGATGAATTTTTTCCATGAATTAAATCAATCGTAAGTAGATTACAGTTTGTTCATGAGATAGTTGTTTTACTGAGCTATATAATGATGGATCATGACTGTACTACTTTGATGAGAAGATTTGCTCTTCACTTTTTATACAGTTAAACGTTCGTGTTACATCAATCTATTAGAAAATTATTGTGAAGTGTTTTCTTTAAGATATTTTAAAATTTTCTAAATACTAAGTTGCAACTCAATGATTTCCTATGTAAAATCTATAACTTTGATATTAAAAGGGAATTACATTTATACGTCCCTTAGTGACTGAAATTAAGAAAACTCCAGTATTTCATCTAGCAGTCTGATCCAAACTTCTTAAGGGAAGTTATCAAACACAGAAAGTATTGAATACAAATAGAGGTCGAAAATTAATTAATTATTCAACAACTATTGTTAGTTCAAATTTAGACGAAATTTTCCAGAAAATGTAACCAAAACAATTCTCAAGCTTTTTCTAACGTCAATTTCCATAGTAAACTGCTTGTTAATGCAAATTCATAATCTCTACAATTTTTTATCATCACTATTAGGGTTCTTTTAAGTAACACAACTTCATATCCATTACTTACTAAATATATATTTTGATAGATATCTTAATTAATTTAAAAATATTCCTTTCATTATTTTAAAAACAACACAAGCGAGTTGCTATCAGGACTCAGTAGTTAAGTGGATAACACGGTGGCATTTGAAATGGACGTTACTAGGTTCCAGTTCTAGACTGGACATCAACTTTGAGATACAGCTACACCCAGCTGATGAGTCCCAAATAGGAAGAACCGCGCGTCCTGGATTCCACTGCTAGCCATTATCCATCTTTGCTAATAATTCGTTTGTAGTTTCATCACATGAGTATTGATTATTTATTACAAGTACTACCATTGAAAACATTTTGTGTGCTTATCTAATGAACATTACTAAGACGTAATACAATATAATGCATAGCAATGAATGAAGGAATGAAGGAAGAAATAAAACAGCATTATAACATTATTTTTTTGTGTGCAAAGAAATATATGATGAATTACTGAATTACATTGGCATTTATTTAACATTAATTTGAATTATCTCATTGCATACTTCTTATTACCGATTGTTGTAACACTTGTCAAAATTATTCAATCATGAATTCCTATTTCCCTTGCTTCCAGTACACTATAGTATTGATTTTTTAATAGGTGTAATTTAAACCAAAATGACTGGTATATATTTGTATATTGAGTTATGTAAGAAGTACTTTTATATTCTCTCTTTTGTTTTAGAACATCCACAAGATATGAAGCGTTCTGATAATATTATTATCATTACTAGTCATTATTCTTGCCACCTTATATAATGCAACGTGTTCTAGCTGAAGTTTTATTCGGAATCACCGTTTTCATTAGACTCTGACTGTAGTTATATTTGGTAATTTTTAGTAATGAAGGATTTACAATAGAGAAACATTATTAGAAACAAATGTTACGGTTTGAATGAAAAAAAGGTTTACATTAATTATATGGGTACATTTTTTCCGTTAGGACATCAATCATACAGAAATCATGGTAAATACTAACCATAATATCAAAACAAAGAAAAAAAACAGCTGTTATTATTTTAAAAATTAGAAAAGTATAATTCATAAGTTGGGTGTAAAGGTATGTCTATCTAAATGGAGTTAGTTGACGAGATTAAAAAATGGTTTAATTTTAATTATTCAAGGATAAATAGTAGATGAATGGAAATTAATGTAAGATGAAATATAAAATGACATGGGTTATTCATAGAACTGAGATATTTTACTGTAAATTTCTAACTGTCAGAGCTTACCACAGAAACAATTGCTCATTTTTTGATATAAATTCAATAATTAGTCAAATATTTAAATTTTATATTTGAATAGTATAAAGCGTGATTCAATTGAAGCTAGACCACCAGGGAAAACCTGGAAGCACTGGACAGCTGTTTCGTCCTATTGTTGGACTCCTCAGCTTTCAACTATAAAAATACTAAATCTACACAAAAAACACCTTCTGAAACTTTATATTGTCAAATTTCCGTAAACCATAATTATAAATAGACTTCATAAAATGAAATCATAGTCACTTTTACTTTATGTTGTGTTTGTTAATTGAATTGCATGATTATTATGTAACAAGTTAGGCGTAGATTTACATAATATTTAGATATCAGTTTTCTAGAAATTGATTTGAGAGTTTTGTATTTTTCAGTCTTAAACGACTCATACATTTTCTGGAAGGTATATAAAATAGGGATCATAAAAAGTTCACAAATAATTAGATAATAAGCGAATTTCAGGGTTTTAATTGAAAAAAGGGTAATAAACTACAACCCGAAATTCTCATATATATATATATAATTATGCTTTGTATATGAATTGACATATGACAGATTTTTTTGACGGAGGGTTTACTGGCTACATGCACGTGTACTGTAACTAGCTTGTAACTCATTTACGAACTACAGATTTGTGTACTTGTACTTCAGTCATAATTATGTATCAGTGTTAATGGTACTATTTAGGTAGAGAAATCAAAATAAATGGAGCAAGAATGTAACCCGCAATCTCGTGGGTGAATGTTGAACAACTTAAGTGATAAGTTATTTAACTACTACGTGAATTAAAAATAAAATTCAAAAAAGTATATAATCGTTGTTCAGTGCTCACTTGGTGTAACTGTTTCCTCAAGTAGTCTCAGTTTTTCAGTAAATATTACACATGAATTAGTTTAAATTTCTGTAAAGTTATCAAAAACATAAGAATGATTTTGTAATATGTAGTTAAAATGTCACTTTCTCACATATCACTTGTTATGAGCTAGTCTTAAAAAAATGAATCCT